CTAGTTGTGTCCGGAGTGCGCTGTTTAAAAGTGCTGTAGTTATTCAGCCACGGAATCGCGCGATCGGCTGGTGCGTTGCACCAGATATGCTGTCCACTAAGATTATGCGAAGTGAACGAGTCTGGACAGGCAAAGATAGGACAGAGGGAATTGTCGCTTCGCACGTTACAAGATGCGTCGATCGCGAACACCCGACCCGAGGCCTTCTGCAGACGCAAAAATACTGAGCGAAGTACGCAGTGGCTGCAGTCCACCGTTGGTGGATTCCGGGTTGGTTCCTCTATGTCCATTGGCTCCCCACACGAGCTGCCTGAGGCTACGGCGTGGGCAATTTCCTAGGCATCCGCTTTTTTGCGGTCCTCGTTGTTGTAACGCGGCCGTTTGCCGCATAGGTGGCCCTTGCCGAAGGGCTCTCCGCAGTGGTAGCAGATATTCTTTTCCTTCGCCATCTCGCGGACCCAAGTCGGCAGTTCCAAGTTGCCGCCTCGGCCGCGTCCGCCAGAGGCGCCACCGCGACCGCCAGCTCGACCGCCACCGCGACTGCCATAGCGGCTACCTCGGTGGTCGGTGCGGTTGCCGGATCCACCCCGTTGGGTGTGGTTGCCGCGGCCGCCATTCTGTCGGGGATGGGCAGGGGCATCGTTAGTGCCTAGAAAGTTAAGTCGCGCCGTTTGCGCCTTGCCCGCCTCGTGGCGCGTTTGTGCACCTTGGGCGTAGTTAACTAAAGCATCGAATGCAAACCAGTTATTGCCGTTGGCATCCGTGGCGCATTCCCGCCGCAGTTGCGGTGGCATACCGTGAATAAGCCAAGTGCACAAGTCAATTTGAGACATGTTAGGGTCGCCGCGCGTAATTTTGCGGAATCGTTGCACGTAATTCGGTATGGACTCGCCGGGCTTCATTGCGTGTGCACCGGCGTGAAGTTGCGTTCGTACGTGGTGAGGGGTGCAAAGGTGCACGTCACCGAAAAGCAACAAGAAGTCGGCACGCATGCTCTGGATTGTGAGCGTGGAGCCTTGGCGTGCAACTAAGTCGTGGTACCACTCGGCGGCTTTGCCCGTAACGTTGTATCGCATGCCCAGTATGGGATCGCTGCCCGTTTGCGTCATGAAATCAACGACAGTATCAAACCAGATTTCAGGTTTTGTTACCGAGGAATTGGGCACTCCTGTGAAGCAAGGAGGCGGCCTAAAGTTCTTAAGACTTTGGTGGTTGGCATTGTGCGCAGTAATGGATTGTACATCCTTGGAACCCACTATCCCACTTACGTGGCCAGCTTGGGCAGCTGCTGGCCCGCTCGCGACCGGCGGCGCGCAGTTGGCAACCGGCGCAGCAGTGGCGACGATCGGCGGTGGCACTGGTTGTGGTGCCTGGTCGCTGGCCTGCGCCGGCGGTACTTGTGCAGTGATTGCCGGCGGTTCTGCAGCCGTTGGCTGCACGTCAGGGCCTTCGGTTGTTGGCATGATGGCTTCGGAAGGAGGAGGAGGAGGAGGAGGAGGTCCGGCGGCTTTGGCCTGGATGTGTGCCTCGATGTCTTCCATTCTTTTCGACATTTTGTCGACTTTGTCCATCAGCTTGTCGAGTTTGTCGTCGCTGGGGGCTCCACCTGTTGGGTGTGCCGCGGGGTCCGTATCGTCAGTACGCGCGATAATACGTGCAACATTTTGTTGCGGGGACCTGAGCACCAATCTACATGGTGGCATTGCGCCATTTGGGCGGTGTGGGTGGGAAAGTGGTGGCAACCCCCCCTCAGGCGGGACGAGGTCAGCCGCAGTGGTGTCGTTACGTTCACGCTCTTCGCGCAACTCACCCTGCCGTGTGCCGCGTTGCGGCTGGAGCGCGGCCGTGGGCAACGTTACCCTGGTCGGCCCCGTTGCGGCAGCCGTTGGCTGCGCAGTGCGTGCGCGCGATGGCCCCGGCCCTGTTGGGTCGTTGTCGGCGTCCTGCGCCGCATTGGCTAGGCGTTCCCTCATTTCGCGGCTTTTCTGCACGTAAGAGAGTTCCTCGTTAGCCTCCATTAGGAAGCCTAGTGCGGAGCGATAGTCTTGCTCCTCGCAAAATTGTCTGACTTTGTCAAACATGCGCGGCGGCGGTGTGATGCCCCTACGCTGGGCGCGCCTCACGTACTTTTCGTACATGTCCTGGACCTTATGTACCAGTTTTTGCGCCTTTGACGGGCTCACCTGGCGCAGCTGATAGCGCTCATGGTCGGCCTCCGCCGACTGGGCGCGTTGAGGGTTCCTTGGGCTCGCCATGTGAGTTAGATAGAAAATGGTTCTAAAATTAGAATGTGATTGCGGAAGCGATGGAGTGCTTGACTCCGAGGTCGTTTGACCGGTTGGTCTAAGATACCAAAATTGTAACAAAGCTTGCAGTTGGCAAGCAGTTGCGAAAAAGGAAATTATCCAACGATAAAAGGTGGTATTGATAAATACCGTTTGGTATTGGAAGATTATGAATAGTTCTTGGATGTACCGTTGGTACGATACCGTTGGCCCGGTGAGCCAAGGGCCGCCTTAGCGGCGTTACACAGGCAGGATCTGTACCTGTCTCATTGTGCATTGCCACTCATTGCAGCATCAAACTAACAAGTGTTATCGTCTTTGTAATAATTACCTTACTCAGGATCAAGAGTCTCTGGCTGTGCTATAGTTGGCTCCAACCCGACCCTACTCTCTAACCCCATAGGCCAAATCTCTAAAGATGCTTAAGAGGTAATATCACAATGGAAGTCAATGATGATTTTGTGGGTGGATTTGGGATGCAGCCCACGCAGCCGTCGGACAATAGGCGCCGGATGCACGAGGTCCAGCTGCAGCTATGATGCAGCCAACGAATGACAAGTGAGTGGCATCATCAGCCATTGCACTGGTTCATTAGATGAGCGGTACATTTTAAACGTGCCCAGCAACGTTTGCAGTGCTGCTGGTGATAAGGCCACCAAAGCGTTTGAGGAATTCCTGGCCGTCATTGGAATGGAATATGACGACTTTGCCGAGTTCTATGGCAACTTGGCAACAAAGGACTTCACCATCGCGACCACGCTCCTCATGCCATGGCTGCACACCTGGGCAGCACCAAACCCAAGCAACAACCCAAAGTATGATGTTGTCTCATGCGAAGTAGTAAAATTTGGCTTGCATGTTAGACAATGCAACTGCTTGCTTGTATGATCTGCAGGACTCAAATGAGGGGGTTGCAACCCCATATGGTAAACTTGCTTCAGCAGGCATGTGTACAGAAGCGAGAAACGGGAGCTGCAGACGGCATCATCCACCAAAGCTCTGCCTACGATGAAGAAAGGTGACATAAGCATGATGCCGCTCTGCCTGAGATATGGGTGCCGGTTTGGAAGCCGTTGAGGATGGAGGCGTATGTTGGCTACTGGCTCATATCACGAGGCATGACACGTGAATAGTGACCACTGGTGAGTTGTTCTCTGGGGGAAATCATGATGTAACAGGTTGATTAAGGCAACTACCCAGGTTCAAACAGGAAGAAGCCGTTGAGGAAGTATGTTACTTACTACTAGTAACTAGTAACTCATATACAGAGCTAAAACTTAAGAATGGTGAAGTGTTCTCTGGGGATGTCATGATAGAACGGGGTGGATTAGGCAAATAACCCAGTTCCGACCTGAGTTCGATTCCCGGGCATGCTTTTTCTGCTTGGGAGGTGATAGCTGTGACTACAGGTATCTACACAGTTGCGTCCATCACTCTGAGATTGACAGATAGTTGGGGACCCCCTGATTTTGAGGGGGAATAATTGTCATTCATGTGCAAGCAAACAAGGGCAACTGCAGTTTTTGGATTTTGTGTCAAATTACCTCTTGCTGCATATATTCTGTATGGAGTCTCCTATACAGGGTTTGGCGTATTTAACTTCTGATGGGCATGTTTGTCTGTCTACAGGGCCCACCCAGCAACCTGCAGCTGCTGTGGACAACACCACATGCTTTCCCCACCACACATCAGCATGCAGAGTCAGTGGAAGGTTAAAGCAGTAGTAAGGTGTGTGGCATAAAACTGCATTCTAAGTTCCACATCACAGTCATTGCAGTTCTTGATGGTCTGACAAAGGTGCTACTGTATGCCCCTGCCTGATCTTTGCTGCATACAGGCTCACAAGCTGCTTGTGGAGGACTGCTGCTGCAGCAATGTCTTGTAGTGTTAACTAACGGCGATAGAGGACTAATACTAGGCATGACTACCAGAAGGTGTTAGGGTGGATAGTGCATGTGACCTATGATGTAGCATGTTTTGAGGCAAATTTTGTTG